ATTAATTGAAAAGCCAATGCTATACAGGGCATACCTTAATTGATATCACAAAATGCCCTTCATTTTTAAGAAAATAGGAAGCATTCAATGCTAAGATCCTCGCCTGCATAACAATATTATTTAGTAGATATCCATACACAGCACCAGATTAGTGAGCATATACACTTCGAGGCCCAGTATTTTTTAAACCAATAGTACATTTCAAGGCCCAGTATAATCTTAATGTTCAAAGCTATATAATAAATATCTAAGATGTCACCAAGACTATTCTTTATAGCACAACACCATAGGAAACTCAGTAAAGAAAATAAAGAGAATGTATACTCGCAATTGGCATCTCTCGTCAATTGACATGTGCTAAAAGGCCAATCCTAAAATTAGTTAACCTGTCAAGCTTGAAGATACAGCCTATATCTAAGATGAAATTTGAAGAGTGTTATAATATGCAACAAAGCACCCATTTTGCATCATTTAAACTGTGATCCAACAAAAGAATGAAAGATGCAACTATAACAATAATAAAGGGGTACAAAACGATACACTTCCAAGCAATACAAGCCAATTGTCAACGAGATAAAATGTGCCAAGTTTTTCATGACCAAATAAAACTATAAAAGGTAAGCAGTTTTTTATTTATTGGGACAACGGAAAAAAATATAAGTTTAGAAACCACAAGCAATACATGCTTTTGATCTAACAGCAAAATATTTAAGTTCAAAATTTTGTGCACATTAAAATCTGAAACAATAATCACATCAGAAAATCAAAATGACATAATCCAGAACATCCATAAGGAGATTCCTACGAAATTTAATGTAGCATAGAAAACACAAGATCCATGACATGTCACAAGGGGAATCATGCTAATTTGTAAAAATTTACTGTTCAAGCATTAGAAATTTGAAAACGCCCCATTGCCAAAGAAAACAAGTTCTCTAAAGTAGGACAATTTTTAACTATTTAAACATACGATAACATGAACTAACTTCAGAAAAGAACTCTAAAGCCAATAATAATTTATAAAGAAAAATGCAAACCAAGCCATCCCATCAACAACAAACTTGAAAGCATCAGAAACTCGATTTACATCATTCAGAATGTCCTGAAGGGGAATCCGAGTATATTTCATCACATGCCATGTTTGATGTGATCAGAAGAAAAAACTACAGAAATTGCCAATCAGCTGTGAAAGAACAGATAAATAAAAAATTCTTTTGCAAACATAGAAAGCCCAAATGCAATTTACAAGGACCTCCCAAGGGAGGAAACTTAGTCAGCAAAGAAAGGATTTCTACATACAAAGCCACTATCAAAATGACATTATAAAATTCCAATGGATAAAGGATATGCACCTGATCCGGTTGAGCAACATCAGAAAATATTACATCAACCATGCCAACCAACATGCGGTACTTGGCAGGATGCCTAGCATCTTCAATTATGGGTATAATGTTGGTACGCTTCTTCGCCATGTTAACCAAGTCTCGACCACTTCTATGAGAAAATTCTACCGCGTACACAACTCCTTCCTGTTAAGAAAAGAAACAGATAATAAATCATAAGCTAGAAAGTAGACAGCAACCACTTGTACAATCACAAATTTCATAAGATGACTGACTTACAGGTCCAATAATATCAGATACATGGGACACTGTGGTACCAGAAGCTGCTCCGAGGTAAAGAACCTTGGCACCAGGAACCTAAATACAAATAGAGAACATAAAAAACTCAAGCCTTTTTCCCACAGCATAGAATATGAAAGCAAAAAAAGAGTAACTCAGTATATTCATTAGAAGGAGATAGCCTGGAGGATAGTAATTATTACTACATTCATTGGAACAGAAAACTCACAATCCAAACATTGTCAAGACCACCAAGAATTGCAGATGCAAGCTTTGATCTAAAGGGATTCCAAACCCTGTATTCAACCTTTGTTCCGTCTTCATTCTGTATGCAATTGAAACAAAATTAATAACACATATAAAGAGAAACAAGTGTTGAAAAGAGTTGAAAAAAATAGTGAGAAAATTTTTAATACTGATAGTAATAAATGAAAAACATATTAGTAATACCAAGTGTGTCTTCTGATATAATCCAATATCTAACAATTAGGATTAAACAACCTAAGGTGGTTGAATATGGAACACTTTGATGTATCTTTTAATATGTTGCAAAGATTTTTGTACTCAGGAATAGGAATCAAATCTCCAAGGTGATAGCATCAACATGATTCAGACGCAAATTACCCATTTGTAGAAGGTTTCTTTCTCATTTGCCCAACAAATTAACAAATTCCCCACCCAAAAAAAGAAAAACACAAAACACATAAAGAAGATATTATAGGTTGACGAAAAACTCTCAGACAAATGCCTCAATTCACATCAGGGTTAATTGAATGGAATTTCTCAGACTCGTCATCAATTTTGACATCATTAAGATTATCCATACAGCCCATTTCATCTTCTTCTAATATATGTGACAAACAAGTAACAAAACAAAAGTCAAAAAGGAAAACACGAAAACAATAGTTATTTTAATTGGAACACAAAAAAATTACGTTTATAATTACTATCTCAAACCTTAAATATAACTTCTGCTTTTTTATATGTTGCACAAAAAGAAAAATAATTAAAAAGTAATTTTCAAGAACAGGCATCAGATCTCCAAGGTGATAGCATCATAGGAATTCAGATGCAAATTACTCATTAAAATGAGGTTCCTCATATGCCAGACTGATCAATAAAACAAAACAACACAAACAGATATAATCAAAATTTTAGAAAAAATATAGGTTGAAGGGAACCTCTCAGACAAATGCCTCATTTCACATCAGGATTGATTGAATGGAATTTCTCAGACTCGTCATCAATTTTAACATCATTAAGAATACCCAAACAACACATTCATCTTATTCCTATCAATGTGACATACAAGTCATAATGAGAAAACTGACACCTAAAGAGACATTTTTAAAGTACCTAGGAAATAATATCCTTATATAATATTTTTAACCTTCTTCTGCATTGCAGAAACAAAATTTAAGAATAGGCATCAGATCTCCAAGGTGATAGCATCAATGTAAGAATTCAGACACAAATTACCCATTAATATGAGGTTCCTCATATGCCAGACTGATCAATAAAACAAAACAACACAAACAGATATAATCAAAATTTTAGAAAAAATATAGGTTGAAGGAAACCTCTCAGACAAATGCCTCAATTCACATCATGATTGATTGAATGGAATTTCTCAGACTCGTCATCAATTGACATCATTAAGGATAACCAAACAACCCATTTCATCATATTTCATATTTGGGTGAACTAACATAGAAAACTACAAAAAATCTAAAAATAATTAAATAGAAACAATAGAAACCTTCCAATTCATAAGTATACTTGGTCTCAAAAAGATTTTTTAAGCAAGAGGAAATTTACTTGATTGTTATAATGGAAAAATAAATATTTACTAAAATTTTACAGTGGAAAGTTCTCAGAAACAGGTTACAACTTGTGATTGATAAACAAAATAAGTCATAAACAACAATCACATTGTCAATTGATGAATGAATAGACCTAATATCATTCATAGGTTACTTAATTTAACAAATCAATATGTTGTTCATTTTAAAGTAAAACTACTTATAAATTAGCAAATTTCCTTAAGGAGAAAAAAGCAGAGATCAAGTTAGGTGAGAAATAAGAGCTAAAAATTCAATCTTTACACTAAAAAAGAAGGTACTTGAGAAAAAATAAACCTGAACAGAAACTCTTTTCTCTCCATAAACAGCTTCACCAGGAACTAAATTCTTAGTAACAAGAGCATCTTCTTTTCCTTTAGCAATAAAAACACCTTGATGTCTATGTGGTTCAACAATAACCTTACTTCCACCTTTCATACCACCACCACCTCTA